TGTTACTGGAATTAAGACTTATTCTATGCATCTGCTCTCCCACAATATGGCGCTGGGAGAGGAGAAAACAGCTTCTACACAGCTGCCTCCAGTTCAGCCAATAAACTGTAGGACTTGCTCCTGATTGGAGGAGAGCAGCGTACTCGGCATGTGGGCAGCCGAGTTGGGATTGGCAGAGGAGGACTATAAAGGAGGAGAGAGACAGCATGCACCAGGAACATCTAACGGGAACATCTAAGGGGAACACCTGTGCAGCCCCCGAGAGAGCCGGCCGGCGGTGTGCCGCTCCCCTGCGGAAGTGGGGAAAGTGGCAGGGGGAACTACCCTTCCACGGAGGTGGAAGGGTCGGTAGCCAACCCGGGAAGAACCAGCAGCAAACCCGGGGAGGGCCGAGCAGACGAAAGAACAGCGCAGGGTCCTGTGTCGTTCCTCCATGAAGAGGGGGAGCGACATAATGGTGCCGTGACTCGGATAGGAAACTTAGGAGGGAAGAAACGGGAAGAAATGGGAAAATATCGGAGAGAGAGACTAGCAAACAGCCTAGGGAAAAGCCGGACGAAAAAGGTGCCGGAAGAAGCTATTGAAAGCCTAGGCATAGACTCAGATACGGACTACGGGGGGAAGCTGGGAGAAATCTCTAAGGTTGAAAGCGAAAGTGAAAGCTAGAACAAACAGACTCGGATACGGACTGTGGGGAGAAGCCAGGAGAAATGAGGGAGGAATATTGTTGGAAGAAAACTTGGGGAAACATACCGGGTAGAGAAAAATGTTAGGGAAATTGAAGCCGCGGGGGGCAGGCCGAGGCGGAGACGAAAGCCACTTTGGGATTCTCAAGTTAGCCCGGGAATAAGGGGCGAAAAGTTAAAACCAGAAGCGGAAATGTAAGCCAGGTTGGAATCCGTCTGATTAGCCCGGGGAGCAAAGGACGGGAAGCCAAATCGTGGGGCGGCAACGTGAGCTGGGTTGAATTCGCCAGGTTAGCCCGGGGAACTTAGATTGAATGCTAGTGGTGGAGACGTAAGCTACGCTGTGTGACTCGCGGAGGCTGCCGCGCGCAGAGAGAGCGTGCGGGGCACAAGTAGATAGGGAACGCTGGGCTGGTGCGAGGCCGTGGTGCAGGCGCGAAGCCGGGAAGCCGCGCAGATGAGAGAGGCGCGGGCTGAAGCAGCTCAGAGCCAGGAAGCCGCAGGGATAAGAGAAACAGAAGTTTAAAAGTAAAATGAGAGAAATAGGAATGTTGGTAGACAGATGTAAAATGGGAGAGATAGGAATGCCCGGAGATATAGAGAAAAATAAAGCCTCCCCTCAACATGGCAATGAGAGAGCTTGGATTCGGTCTGCCTGATTAGGAAGGCGGTGAGCACCTGCGGGCGGCTAGCAGCTTATGCACCGCAGGTCACCGAAGACAGGCACGTTATTAACATCAATAGTCTCCCCACAATACCGCAATGAGAAGGCTTGGATTCGGTCTGCCTGATTAGTAAGGCGGTAAGCACCAGTAGGCAGCTCGACCAGAGTATGAGCTGCAGGTCACCGAAGATAGGCACGAATCAACACCAATAAGCCTCCCCACAATATGGCAATGAGAAGGCTTGGATTCGGTTTGCCTGATAGGGCTTGTAAGCACCTGCAGGCAGAGCAGAGCATGCGCTGCAGGGCACCGAACACAGGCACGCATCAGCGCCTAAAAACCTCCTCACAACATGGCGAAGAGAGGACCCGGATTCGGTTTGCCTGATTGATAGGACTTGTAAGAGCCTGCGGGCAACTCTAGCAAGTAGAGCAGTGTGTGCCGCGGGACACTGAAGACAGGTGAGTATCAACGCCAAAAAATAAAAAGAAAGGGGGATCTGTGGGGAGCAACTCGGACTAGACTAAGTTACTGGAATTAAGACTTATTCTATGCATCTGCTCTCCCACAATATGGCGCTGGGAGAGGAGAAAACAGCTTCTACACAGCTGCCTCCAGTTCAGCCAATAAACTGTAGGACTTGCTCCTGATTGGAGGAGAGCAGCGTACTTGGCGTGTGGGCAGCCGAGTTGGGATTGGCAGAGGAGGACTATAAAGGAGGAGAGAGACGGCATGCACCAGGAACATCTAAGGGGAACATCTAAAGGGAACATCTGAGCAGCCCCCGAGAGAGCCGGCCGGCGGTGTGCCGCTCCCCTGCGGAAGTGGGGAAAGTGGCAGGGGGAACCACCCTTCCATGGAGGTGGAAGGGACGGTAGCCAACCCGGGAAGAACCAGCAGCAAACCCGGGGAGGGCCGAGCAGACGAAAGAACAGCGCAGGGTCCTGTGTCGTTCCTCCATGAAGAGGGGGAGCGACAGGCCTCACCCTGCCAAGGTGCACCATGGGATGGAAGACAGGCCTCACCCTGCCAAGGTGCACCATGGGATGGAAGAGAGGCCTCACCCTGCCAAGGTGCACCATGGGATGGAAGAGAGGCCTCACCCGGCCAAGGTGCACCATGGGATGAAAGAGAGGCCTCACCCTTCCATGGTGCACCACGGGATGAAAGAGGCCTCACCCTGCCAAGGTACATCATGGGATGGAAGAGAGGCCTCACCCTGCCAAGGTGCACCATGGGATGAAAGAGAGGCCTCACCCGGCCAAGGTGCACCATGGGATGGAAGAGAGGCCTCACCCTGCCAAGGTGCACCATGGGATGAAAGAGAGGCCTCACCCGGCCAAGGTGCACCATGGGATGGAAGAGAGGCCTCACCCTGCCAAGGTGCACCATGGGATGGAAGAGAGCCCTCACCCTGCCAAGGTGCACCATGGGATGGAAGAGAGGCCTCACCCGGCCAAGGTGTACCATGGGATGAAAGAGGCCTCACCCTGCCAAGGTGCACCACGGGATGGAAGAGAGGCCTCACCCTGCCAAGGTGCACCATGGGATGGAAGAGGCCTCACCCTGCCAAGGTGCACCACGGGATGGAAGAGAGGCCTCATCCTGCCAAGGTGCATCATGGGACGAAAGAGAGGCCTCACCCGGCCAAGGTGCACCATGGGATGAAAGAGAGGCCTCACCCGGCCAAGCTGCACCACGGGATGGAAGAGAGGCCTCACCCGGCCAAGGTGCACCATGGGATGAAAGAGAGGCCTCACCCGGCCAAGCTGCACCACGGGATGGAAGAGAGGCCTGACCCTGCCAAGGTGCACCACGCGATGAAACAGAGCCTGGAAAGTCTGGAAGCATGCAAGATGGCCAAGAAGGCCATAAGAAAGCAGAGAAGCACATGTGGCAATCTTGGATTCTCTACAAAATTTCAGAAGCGTGAGGGTGCCATTACCTTTCTCCTAGGAACAACTACTGAGGCTGTTTTCTCTCCTCCTCACAGCTAGAAAACTCTCAAGGAATGTTGGGTGAATCTCAAATGTCTGGGGAGGCTGGAGAGAGCACAACTGGCAATGGTTCAGGACTGCAATGTGGCACTCGGGGTGAGGGGACTTGAAAAGGTCTGTGGAAAGTGGAGTTACAAGATACATTTCTTTTGGTGTAATGCATTCTGAAATTCATGCCTAGCTTTTTCATAATCTGAACTTCCATCCGTGTTTTCAAGACCTACGATATGTGTGGATTTCAAAGCCTTTTACACCAAACTAAACTTATCTTTTAATTTAACTTTCCACAACCTTTTTGAAATACCAACATATGCTTTTTAAAGATAAGAATTCTGTACCCTACTTATTCAAGCATTACTGTATTTTATACCCTGCTGTCAGAATAAGAGGTTTCGTCCACATAGAGATTTCCAATCTCATTCCCAAGGTATTTCTTATAATAACCAACATTTAGTCACGGTTCACACACATCTTGCAGTGCTGTAGACAAATTCTATAGAGCCTTTGTGGTTATTTCCAGCTCTGCTGATTCTACCCCCAGGGCATAATCACCAAGAATGCACAGTGTTCCCCAGACAGCCCGGGGCCAACAAATCATCAATGATCCCATGAAGGAAAAATTCGGTTTATATCTTGTTTACAGAGCCATAATTTTCATCTAAAGACTTAAGTTAGTAGAGCTGAAATGTTCTACTTTAAGAGAAAAAACATGCATTTTTCTAACTTTGGTTAGAAAAGAGAAAACACTTTGGGCATGAAAATCATCATATACAAGTGAAATTACCATTTAATTAAATGCCACATTTTTTACATTCTTAAGAGACGGAAATATTTAAAATTAAGTCGCTGCTCTGTACAAAACCAGCTCTGCTTTGTTTCGTGTCTTAGCAGGCTATGTGGAAACAGTGCATGCGAGACAGGCAAGGGGGCAAGGAGGACCAGGACTCCCGCAGAACCCACGTGCCGTCGCCACACACATCCTGGGTCCTGCACAAGGCGACTGGTGCGCAGTAACTGCTGGTCAGTTTTTCAAAAAATCAGGCACAATCTGTTTCCTTGTTGCCATCAGCATCTCCACATCACAGACAAGGGGCAAAGCCTGAGCTCGGCGTCGGGATGTTAACACTCAGGGATCTGGTGGCAGAAGGGATGCTTCCTGATAGGGACATGCCAGCGCTGCTCCTGCCAGGGACACAGATGATGCCTGCGGCCTCAAGTCGGACCACACCAGGTGCCGGGGCCCTCGGCTGCCTTCTGTGTACGGACGCCAGGTGCCGGGGCCCTCGGCTGCCTTCTGTGTACGAACGCCAGGTGCTGGGACCCTCGGCTGCCTTCTGTGTACGAACGCCAGGTGCCGGGACCCTCGGCTGCCTTCTGTGTACCATGGAGAGGATTGCAACAGTCTCCTCTTACGGTTGCCACACGCAGTTACTGTGCAAAAGCCTATAAAGGTTCCCGGCACAGAGCGTGGAAGGAGAAAGGACCTGGGAATAACACTACCGTGACTACGCTGACCGTCTCCAGTGTCTCCAGTGCTCACTCTGATTTTGCCCTTCTGACAAATAATCCTTCCAACTGGTTCAAAGCTACTGGACATGGGAGGACAGCAGGTCAGTTTCAAAACCGATCTGTGTATCAGGCCTGATGCTTACAGCCAACATCCAGTGTCATCCTGCCAGTGGCTCTTCCAGCATCGTTGACGGCAACACATGTGTAGTCGCCGGCATCCAGGTCTTGCGTTTCTTTAATCTTCAAAAGCCCCAAGGCAGGGTCAATGGCGAGGAATGTCGAGGGCCTCAACGCCAGATCTCCTAAGTGAAAACAAAGGGTGGGATGTTAAGCACCGAAGCAGCTGCATAGTTTACTCAGCTGTAGCCTTGGTTTCAAAACTGCTGCGTAAAGTTGACTGTAAAGTTATGAAATACAAGCATCTTGGCACAACATGGGTACTTTCGATAATCTAAAAGCTGCATTATGGACAAGCCTTTCCTGTTTACTGCTGGATATTCAGGGCGATCTCTGGCAGAGGCTGGCAGCAGTACTGACCACCAGGTCAGGAGGAAACAGACCGATTTCTACTTCCTTTGGAACACTGCATTTCTGGTAGCCCTGGAAATGCCCAGGAGACGAGTGTAGACTCGATGTAGCTAAGGACCAGGATTCAGGTTTTCTGAAGGCCCTCAGAGTTTTGTCTTAGAAGAGGTATAAGCTGCTGAGAGAATTCGGAGGATGCCTGGTAGGGAAGGGATGACAGCCAGCTGACGACAGCAGGGAAGACTTACGGGGAGGAGAGAGAACGAACAAGACGCTTCTGACAGAGGCCAGAGAGGTTCCGTTACAAATTCTCAGGACACCTCTACGAATTTCTATTTTGTTCATCAAAATTCCTGAATTGGGGGTGATGGGATTTTGGAGGGAACAGGTGGGGAATAAATGTGTGGGAGAGGACAGGATGGGGCAAGAGAGACCAGCGTGCCGAGGTTACCTGGACACACTGGGTCCCTCCGCGCCGCCACTCCCCCGGGGACCACGTCCCCCGGGAGGCAGACGATGCTCGGCACGGCAGGGCTGTCTCCGGGCGCACCTTCTCCCTGTGCTCCTGCCCAGGTGTCTCTTCCCCAGAGGGAAATCACCCCCAACAGCAGAAAAGCACAAGCAATGCCAGGCATGGGCTGCTTGGTGCCAGCTCAGCTCCCACCTCTTTCGGGTTTGCTTTTGTGAACGGAAATATCAAACACGTGAGGACCCTGGAATCTTCCAGAAGAACTGAGGACCATTGTTCTTAGAGCCTCACAGAGCTCCCAGATACCAGGTCTGAAAAGGAACTCCCTCAATCGTCATACGCCAGCTGTGCGTGCAGGGCCCAATGACCAGAGACCAGGCGGAGAGCGCCCAGGAGCTGTTAATTTTCTAGGGTCAGCAACCAGCAGACCAAGGGCAACAAACAGATACTTCTGGCTTTGTTTATATAATTTTCTGAGGAGGAGAAGTCAAAAGTGCTCTGAATTTAAAAACAACAAAAAAGACTGCATTAGCAATCAGCTGTCAATGCCAAAAAAAAGCAGTTTCCAGCTCTCCAATATGTAAAACCCCAATTATCCCGGTCAGCCTGCTACTACATACCATGCGAGAAGGAGAGACGCGCCTGAAGGCGTGTCCACGTGCCTCTGGGAAATTTTCATAAACAGAAGCAGATGATGTCGGCACAAACTCTCCTCCCAGCACGGGAGGTGCACTGTGACCTCGCTGCTCACCAAGTATGAGGTGTTGGGAATAAAATGCATTTAGATTTTCGGGATTTACTTCTCTATTATATGTCTTCTGCTCATCTCAGAGAACAGAGCAGGATGAAGAAAGACCTTTCTTGCCAGTAGCTTCTGTCCAACATAAACGTGTCAAAAAAGCAGCAATCATGGAAAAAAATAGGTTGGCAAATACTAATCCAATCAAGTTTGCATCTTGATCCCATCTTGACAGCCTCTCCTATTTTGATTGCTACTGATCAATCACCCACCAATTTACTGAGAAGCCACAGAGAAATTCAGGATCTTTCACATGGATCTGAAGAAATGATTACTTAGTTTTAGGTAAGATTATTCCACGCTAATTTGTTGTAGGGTTTAAAGATCACTGCCACACAGGAAAGTTCCCTTTTGTGAGTTTAAACGCCCTCCTGTCCTCCGTGGATGTCAGACTGACACATCGTTATCCTTAGCACACGAGCCATTCCAGTGTGGTTGATAATGACGCAGTTTCCAAAAACACTTGTCTCAGTACTCCTCTAGGACAGTCTTCAAAATTACTGTGGGCCCAAGGGATTTTTGTTTATGTAGACATTTATTTGCATTTAGCATTTCAGAAATCAAATTAAGAAATTTAAAACCATGCACATTAACATAATTACACTCATATATTTAAAAACAATGAGAATATTTCATGAAAAAACACTAAATTTTCCCAAACAAGAGAAATGCAGTGACAGAGTGGCACTGACTTGTGCTGTGTGACAGCAGACAGCCAAGCACTCTCACCGGCTTGTGAATTCCCTCTCTGGATCTCACTCGGACACAATGGGAGGGGAAAGGGCACAGGGCATCTCAGTGTTGTTAGGAAAACAGTCCTGAGCTCACGGAGTCCCTGGAAGAGCCGTGGGAGCACCCTGAGGTTCCAAATGGCATCTCAAGCACCACCAATCTCAATAAAGAAATCCAATCGCTTCACTATTTTACCACAAATATCCTTTCCTCAGGTTTCAACAATGTCCCTGATCTCCCTGGAACCCACTTCATGTTGCTCATTTCTAGAAATAAAACCTCCAAAATTCTGGAGAGCACCTGCACTTAGAAATTCCTTTTCTTTGATGGTCTTGATGGAACAGAGTTTATTACCTATATTGTTTTAAACACTTATTCCATTCGATCAAAACTGCTTGAGAAAAGTATGGAGAGGTTGTTATTCTTACGGTGGATGCAGGAACTTTTCTTCCTCACCCCATGGTGCCCACAAGGCAGGATTTTCCTAACCCTCCTGAGGTCCTGTCTCAGCTGCCCCCACCTGGCTGGGAAGGTAAGGTGGCCTGAGACTGGGTTCCAGTCAGCTGTGCCTGGTGACGAATGTTAGGGCCATCTTCCGGTGTGGCCCATCACATCCATGCACACACCCCACCTTAGGTGGTTCATACGTGGGCAGGAGAATGGGATGTCACCAAATGGACCCACTGACACGGGATGCTGATGGGTGAGTAATTCAGCTGGTAATTCTAGAATCCTCCACGTGATGGCTGCACGTTGTCTGTGGGATCGAGATGGGCGTGAAGACTAACCTTCTCAGGAGAGTAGCCCGGACAGGGGAGAATAAAAGACTTCCTATGCGACTCTGCTATAATATAGGCAGAAAAATGAGCACAATCCATTACTTTTATGGACTTGAATTTGCATTATAAACTACTGAATGACCCTTACAAATTACTGTCTCCATAACACATATTTTATGGCTATTTAATTATAATGTGAATTTGATGTTTCACTGACAATTCAAATATTTAAATATTGTTTTATGTTAACTGAAATAAGCCTCTCATGGAGCAAATCCAGAAATACTAGCTTATCAAGGACTAAAAACCTTAAACATGGAAAACCATGATAATGGCTTCATTTCCTGGCTTCCCTTCTTTATTACGTAAAAGTATGTTTTACATACAGCCCTTTGTCACCCCCCTCCTGTTCCCTAGGAGCTTGAACCAGAGGTGAATTCACAATTTTCTGATTATGACATCAACCTGTTGCTATGGGAATGTCTATGATTTAACAAGCAGACTCACAACAACAGTGCTGTGTACTTTTTAGCATTTTTCATCGGAAGATTTTGCAGTTTCTGAATAGTCCTGGCAACCTCCCTCTGAGGGGTCTGCAGGGCTGCTTCTTTTTCTCACACTTTGAAAGGAGCAAGCCGGACGCAGAAGCGGGGTTCTATACAGATATCTGCTGTCGGCTCCTGAGCCTGGACCGCCATCACTACGGCCAAGAGGCGAGCACTGTCACGTTACTGTGGCGTCACAGAGGTAGCAGCTTCCTCTCCCAAACACAGACAGATGGCTTCTATTCCTATACAGGCATCCAGCCGCACAAGAGGAAGCTGACCACGAGCGGCGTGTCTTTACTGCACATTTACAGCAAGCACAGCTGGGAATCCACTAAACATCTTAATGGTGAGAACCATCATCCTCAGGAAAAGGGAACTAGACTCAGTGAAGCTATTGTAAATGTTCACTGTGATTCTGGGAGAATTCTCTACAGGAAACAATCCTACACCAACAGAGAGAGTGCTCAGCGGGATTAGCGGGGGCAGTCCTCCCCGGCTTTGATTGTCATGGCCCTTTAATCCGCACCAGATGTCAAGTCCTGAAGTACAGAGAGCGAGATCCTGAACTAGCCTCTCTAGTGAGATCATAAACACATTTTATGGGGCTGCTAAGTCACACACCAAAGAAATCCTTCCTAAACACAAACCTAAGTGAACCAGACGCAGACATACTTGGGAAACCTACCTTTGAACCATGTCACCTGGGGCGGAGGGACGCCGGACGTTCTGCATTCCATGACCGTGGTGTCCCCTAGAGCGACCAAAAGCTCGCTCTGAACCACAAGCAACTTTGGGGCTTCTGAAAACACACACACACAGAGTCAGCATGTAGCACCACCCACAGGGGCCTGCGGATGTTCACCCAACAGTTAGAAGAACAGGGTCAGCATTTGGGAGCTTGTGGCTATTTCGGTGTTTATACACAAAGGCACCCTTTAATACACACGCGCACGGATGTGTGTGAAGAAGCGCAGCTTCTGCCAACAGTTTTTTCCCCACTCATCCTCATCACATTATTCTGTACTCTGTCTATTAGTTACCGCAAATCAGGGAAAACATTTGATACTTGTCTTTTTGGGACTGGCTTATTTCACTAAGCATAATGGTTTCCAGTTGTATTCACTTTATTGCAAAAGACAGGATTTCATTCTTTTTCATGGTTCAGTAGTATCCCATCATGTATATTACCACATTTTCTTTATCCAGTCATCGTTGGTGGAGGTCTGGGTTCATGCCATATCTCAGCTAGTGTGAACTGAGCTACAATGAACATGGGGCACCGTAACTCTTTCATGTGCTGATTTCATTTCCTCTGGGAAAACTCCCAGGAGTGGGGCAGCAGGGTCACATGCTAGATCTACTTTCAGATTTCTGAGGAATCTCCATACTGTCTTCCACAGTGGCTGTACTAGTTTTCAGTGTACCCAACAGTGCATTAGGGTACCTTTTCCCCCTACTTCCTCTCCAGCATTTATTGTTGTTTGATTTTTGGGTGACAGCCATTCTCCCTGGGGTAAGGCAAACCTCACTGCGGTTTTTATTTGTATTTCCTTTTTTTTTTTTTTTTTTTTTTTTTTTTTTTTTTTAATCTTTTATTTAATGAATATAAATTTCCAAAGTACGTCTCATGGATTACAATGGCTTTCCCCCCCATACCGTCCCTCCCACCCACCACCCTCCCCTTTCCCACTCCCTCTCCCCTTCCTTGATGGCTAATGATCCTGAGGATTTTTTCATGTGTCTGTTGGCCATCTGAATTTCACCCTTTGACAAAAATGGCTATTCATGATGTCCTTTGTCCAGTCCTTCACTGGATTGTGTGTTTTGTTGTTGTTGAGTTTTTGAACTCTTTATAGATTCTGGGTATTAATCCTTCATAAGTTACATGGTTTGCAAATATTTTCTCCCATTCTGTTGGCTGCCTCTTCATTTTGTTCAGTGCTTCCTCCGTGGTGCCTGTGAACGGTTTTAATTCAGTCATCCCCAAGCCTGAGCCCATCTTCCTTTCTAAGCATACTCACCACATGCCTTCTCCACTTCTTAACTGAAACCAATTCTTTCCAGGCTCTCAGTTCCATCCTTGGGTACTCTTGCTCCCTCCCTTACCTACACAGCCAAGCACAATTCTCTTGCCTTTATGTGGCTCTTTCACATGCCTGCCTCTCCAGGGCCTGGTCAGGGAATCTACGAAGACCAGCAGAGTGGCGAGTGGACCACTGACAGCCAGGCACTGAGCACAGGGAGCCTTTCTCCCTCCTTTATTCAGAAAGAACCTGCCCAACAGAAATATTCTACAGAACAGCTGCCACAAACCACACCTTCACTAAGTGTTTACACTACCATGAAAGGTGAACATATTCTATACAGTTTTGAAAATAAGTAGAACATACAAAGTGGGAGTTGTGATAAATAGAAGGGATGCAGAATTTACTAACTCGAAAGCGAAACACTGGAGAGGACAGATGAATCGTGGCAGGACAGACGTGTGCGCGTAGTCTGGACCCCCTTAATCTGGAGGTTTCCTTGATTTCAGTTAACTCATGAAGCTATTCACTTGTGGAACTTTTCACTTAAATGAATTACAACATTTGGTTTAATCAGCATGTTAACTAAATAATAAATTATACTATTATGCTTCACTATATTAATTTTTCAGAAGGTCCTTTGACATTGCTGATATGGTTTTCATTCTATTTTAATAGCCTTTTAAACTGATTATACTTGCCAATGTATCTGAGGGTGGAAGTCTGTTTATCCGTTCCAGCCGAATTACTTGCCAGGCAACTGTAGATCCCTGCGTCCTTGGGAACTGCGTTTCTGATGAGTAAGGTGCCATCAGAGGTCATCTTGTACCTACGAGCACCAAGCAGAAGTAAGCAAGCACACCCTGGCTCCCCTTCCAACGTTTCAGAGGTCTATTCCCGGTGCTGATGGCAGGCAGACCTCAAGGACGTCACCGTTTCGCAAGCGGAGACCTGATAGTAACAACAGAGATCACACACCTCACACCGGCCACATGACCATCGGTGCTCTACATTGACCATGTTTTTAATCTTCGTTAAAAACCCTATGAGTTAGACACCACTCGTCTGTTTCACAGAGGGGCGAAAATGTCACATAATGTGCCCAAGGCCAGAGACAGTAAATCCTACTGGACTCTGCACACAGGTGATCCAGCTTCACGCAGCCAACGGCCACATGAAATCGTTCCTCACGGAAACCTGCGGAGTGCACTGCGGTGCTGTGAGTGCTGTGAGCAGTCTGGGAACTACTCCACCTGCTCGCGCCAACCCAGGAACGGAAGCCTGGCGGCTCGAGACCCTGCTGCCTATGTTCCAGGCGTTTGTCCTGCTCTGAACAGGAAGGATTCAACATGACATACTTCTCGGTGGGGAAAGGCGAAGGTGGAACTGGTCACAGAGACTGCACCCCCTTACCCGAGCTACTGCTGTGCCCTGTGCCTCTGCCCCTCTGCTGTCAGATCCGGGACGGTGCCTTCCCTCAGTCTGTTAGAACTACAGGCTATTTTACCCATAGGAAGCTTATTATCCCAGTTCACCACTCAGATTAAACCAAGTGTTACAGTATCATGTCTGCAATTCATAGTAGTACAAAGCACTGGTCCTAGCGACTGAATTTATGTAAGCCTTAATAACCTCTCACTCTATAAATTCATCATTCACATATTTTTTTTCTTTGACATTTCCTACCTTGCTTAGAAAACCCTAGAGCCATGGGTCTCGGTCAAACTTCCCTGAATTTTAGGGATTGGGTCAGCCTAGTTTGGTCCATAAATTTCAACTTTTCTCACACAATAAAAGCAAAGAACAGGACACAACCCAGTACCTGTGAGAACCCATGATGAGCATGTCGTTGAAGGCCCAGCGGGTCCTGGGTCGGGGATACCCCGTCGCAGAGCACCTGATGGAGACCTCCGACCCTCCCGTGAAAGACTGATTCCTGGGCACCACGGTGACTCTGGGTCGCTCTGCGGACAAAAAGAAACCTGTCACGGAGCCCGTCTGCCTGGGTGTCAGGAGCTCCCTCTGCTAGCACATTCGCAGGTCTGCCACCACCACTCCTTTACTGCCTTTCTCCATGGATGGCCCCATCAGGACCGTGGCTCTACCCCAGCAGGCACGAAGCCAAGGGCCATGAGAACGAGAGAAGTGAACGCCTCAACAGTTACCCGACGGCTCCTGATGCCGCGTGTCTGTGTCTTCTCTGGTTACCACGAGGCCCCTACTTCATCTCGCCACTCGCTGGCCTCAGACGCGCTCTGCGCACTGAAGGCCAGCTCAGCATCCACGCAAGCCCTCTCACTCCCTCCAGACACCGAATGCAGGTTTGCAGCAACCACCTGCTGTGGTGCCGCCACCTGCTTTGATCACGCTGATCTTTCTTTTTCATTTATTAGATTGTTTGCTGAGGCCAAAGACCATGCCTTCCACATTCATCCATATTCCATTACATTCTACGACATTTAACATCCGCTGCATATCACGTTAGATAGAAAAGGCACTCAGAACTGCTGTGGACTGCAGGCCATTCCTCAATCCTGGCTCAGCTCTGACCTCGGTGTCTGCCAGCCCCTCTCAGGAGGTCACCACAGTTCACTGGATCCATCCCACAGAACCACGGGCCCTCAACTTAACAAGAAACCCCAACTATTCAAACTTTCTATTGCATTCCACAAGCACGGCAGGAAAAAGACTTTTTTGAAAATGAAACACTAAATCGGGAATTTATTGTCAAAAAGAAAACAATTCTCTGGGACAACCCTAATGCTGATCTACTTCATCTAATCAGTGGCATGTTTTCCATCTAGGAACCCATAGTAAGAATTAATCCTCAAAGATATCATCAAAGAAAAATGAAATAATCCTTTCAATATAAATACCCTCCTTTCAATAAATGAAAATAAATTCATTTCCAGTGTTTGAAAAAGACAGATTCCATGAACACAAACAGAAATAAATACATTCTCTCAACATCTGTTCTTTGCACAACTGTGATGTGCCAGGCACAGCACTGACTTGTAGGGATACACCATGAGCATGATAGCCACACTGAGTGTCATTTAATTGGGCTTTTATTATCAATGAAACTGAGAAAATCTATGGGGTCTTGACATATTCATGATATACCTTGATGGTGGTCTGCACACTGTGGCTTGGTTACAGCAGGAGACTCCACTCTGAGGAATCCCTGACCCTGACAAACATACAACAGGAACCGGAACGGCTGGATGGCAGAAACCATGCCACTAGGGGAGCCTAATTAGTGCCTAATTGCTAGCAGCAGCGCACAGTCGCCCCCTCTCCTTTTCCTGTTTACATTGTGTTTTTCAAATTAAGATCCAGTCTTTGAAGGGAACATTTGAAGGGTTTTCTGGCCTGTGGACTTGGGTGATAGCCTCATTATTTCAGGAATTCTCAGTGAACACAGGGCTAGAGAAATGAAACGTATGAGGTCAAGGGCAGACTGGCCGAGCTCAGTAAGTTCTCATGTGACTCCATCTGGAGTCCATCAAGCAGGGAAAGCCAAAGGACTGCACATGCTGTTGGGGTGTCGCGGACGATCTTCAGAGGAGGAAGGGGAAAACACTAACAGTTCTTTCTTTTCCTGTGGAATCTACTGAATACCCACATTTACACAGTCCCACCTTCCTAACACGAATGCTTCGCGTGCCTCACTCCTGTCGGCATGGCATTGCTTCAAAAATGCATGCAGCTCTCAGGAGTTCTGTTTAAACTTGGTGCTTTACAACAGAGTCTGCCAGAACTGGCCTGGCACCCAACCCAGCAAGAATCCCACTGGTAGGCTCTGGTTCAGATATCAAAGTGAAAAGCCAGTCAGTTACCCAGCCCAGGACGCAGAGAGCTAAGAGGGTACTGAGCACAGCCTGCACACAGGGCGCCACTTGGGGTCGTGAAGCCAGCCAAGTGAACACCCAGACGGGTGACGTCATCCCACAGAGGGAGAGGAGTCACCACTGCCCGGGACAGAATATTCCTGCTGCTGCTAAGAAAAATCGGAAAGGACATGAATAAACGGAGAAACAAAACTGAATTTCTGCCAAGTACCAGCTGAATGAAGATGGTCCAAATGAACTGACCTTTACTTAATTAAGTCAAACAAAAAGGTAATAGACCTCAACTGTTTGTAATTCCTGGTAAAAGCTCCTTTTGTTTTAATGGAGCAAGAACATGCAACAGAGGAACCACAGTCCAAGTCCGTCGATGACATGACATCATTTGCCCCCGAACATGAAAAAAAAATTACATTTGATTTACAAAGTTAAGCCTCATTTTTATAAGGGAATGAAACAGTGCTAACGACTAATTTTAGGGTTGGAAGAGAAGTAACCTATCGTTACTTGAGGTTTTCAATCTCATTTCACAACCACCACCACCATCACCAGTAACAACTTGCTTTTCACTAGCCAAAGCAATGGGATCATGGCACTCTAAGGTAAGGTGGCTTTAGTTCCTCATGCGAGAATGATGAGAGCAAACCACATGAGCTTTATGACTTCCTGCCAACGACTTAAAAGAATTATATAGACATGTATGAAGAATACAAAGTAAGCACTCCAAGACTTTGGTCTTAATCGACTATTAGGGATACATTAGGTAAAACAAACTGTAAGCAGCCATGAAAACTGCCAGCATTTTATCTACAAAGACCAGGCAGGGAAAATCTCATCCGACTCTTAGAAATTGCCAAAGCTATGCTCATACTCAGAGACATGGCTCCTGTCGGCTGGGAGCGACCTGCTGCTCTTGGGTGGAGATTCTCATCAACAAATTGATCAAAAGATGCTAACACTTTTAACTCAAGCAACGGTTTATAATATTTTTCATCATTGGTCCATTTGGAGTCCTTGGCCAAGCTTCTGTGTGCTTTCATTTTTTCACTCCACAAACGTTTATTGAGTATGTACTAGGTTTCAAACAATGTATGCCCTCAAGGAACAGGTTTATAAAAGTATGTTATGTAAAATTACAGCCACAACGTCTTAGCAGCCAGTTCACTGAAATAGGAAGGTGGGATACATTTACTGAGTGTCCATTATCTTCCAGCTATCTAACTCTTTTCCATAATAATCATGAAGTAACTGTTACTGCCATTTTAAAGATAAAGAAACTTAAGCTCAAAATGGTTAGTATGCCCAAAGTCACTTCAAGGTGGAGCTGGGATTCAAACTCACACCGTGCTGGCCACAGGAGGTCTATCCATGCCTCAATGGAGACATAACAGTACCTGGACTGCACAGGATTGTTGTAGATCAAATCAATATACAAGAAACACTTAGAACAGGGCCTGGCACACACACACATACTTTTTGCTATTAACATTCTATTATGCGGCCAGTGCTGTGGTGCAGCGGGTTAACACCCTGGCCCGAAGCACCGGCATCCCATATGGGCGCCGGCTGGAGTCCCAGTTGCTCTACTTCCAATCCAGCTCTCTGCTGTGGCCTGGGAAAGCAGTAAAAGATGGCTCAAGTCCTTGGGCCCCTGCACCCATGTGGGAGACCCGGAAGAAGCTCCTGGCTTCAGATGAGTACAGCTCTAGCCATTACAGCCAATTGGGGAGTGAACCAGCGGATAGAAGACCTCTCTGTCTCTCCTCTCTCTGTACAACTCTGACTTTCAAATAAATAAATAAACCTTTTAAAAAAACATTTTATTATATGGTAAAGTATGACAAAGAATGAAAAAAGTGAGTACTAAAGTATTTAAAATGCATCCTTGTATATGCACTACTTAGACATCCACAAATGGAACCTGAGCACAACTCACAGCTGCATAAATTATACACCCCATTTTAGCTGCCTCTTGGTGTATCTTACGAAATCCTAAAATTTCAGATGTTAAATGATCATTAAAGTTTGTTACAAAATTCAGTAAAAAACTATTATTTTTCCATGTTTTACTAGTGAGAAAAACCTACTAATACTTATGACATGTGGTACCCATTAAGGGACAGCTACAACTGTCTGATAAGCACATGGTTATGATACTATGAATTTCCCACTTAGTGACATGATTGTGGTCGTTAGAAACTGATTTCACAAAACATCTCAAGACACATTTCCTTTTTTTTAGTGCAATACCCCTCTGGTGACAAGGAACAATGAATGAAAGATATCCTCCCTCTCCTGAGCCCACAGAAAACAAATCAACGCCTGAAACCCCCACACAGGAGTAGCCCTAGGAAGAAAGGATGGCTCGTCCAGGCCCTTTGCCTTCCACGCTGCTGCAGTGGTCAAAGCAGGACTCCTGTGCAAACCCTGGGCCTTCAAAGCCCCCGAGGGAGGCAGCAGCTAGCAGAATCAACAGCTCCTTCTGTTGCAGATAAATGGGAGAAGTCTGTTCTAAACAAAACCTTTAACTCATATCAAGTCTAGAAGCAGCCCTCTTCACTTACTCTTTTACTTATAAATGACCAGTCCTAGCATCTGAAAATTTAGCAGCCAGCCGGTCATCCTAAAAGTGACACACTGCTTTGCTCTGTTTTATAAAAGTCTGCAAAACTCATTCAACATGGTATGCTTTCTAAAACTGGGTAAGCTGATTAAAATAATAGTTCAAAAATAACAACTCTACAAAACCAATCCCTGGAGTAAGGACAGTCTATTCAACAAATGGTGCTGGGAAAATTGGATTTCCACGTGCAGAATCATGAGGCAAGACCCCTACCTTTCACCTTACACAAAAATTCACTCAACATGGATTAAAGACCTAAATCTATGACCCGACACCACCAAATTATTAGAGAACACTGGAGAAACCCTGCAAGATATAGGTACTGGCAAAGACTTCTTGGAAAAGACCCCAGAAGCACAGGCAGTCAAAGCCAAAATTAACATTTGGGATTGCATCAAATTGAGAAGTTTCTGTACTGCAAAAGAAACAGTCAGGAAAGTGAAGAGGCAACCCACAGAATGGGAAAAAATATTTGCAAACTATGCAACAGATA